CTAATGCTAATTATATGTACTAGTGATTGGTGTTTTGAATAGCCTTTTAAATTTAGTATTTAGAACCTTGCTTTGAATTTCATTTTGTTTGATTTGCAATGTCAGCATTCAAGACATGTATGTAACTTGGATTACATTTGAACTTATTATGACAAGCACAAAGCTTTTGATAGATTTGCTTTATTTCTAAGATGCACATGAACACAAATGAAAACACATCAAGGATTTCAATGGATTTCAATAGCTCCTTTATTTACTCATAACTGCCACATTCTGTAAAACATTACAGCATACAATTGTCTTATCAAAGCAATTTCATACACTTATTTTAAATAAAACATCACAAAGCCAAATAAAACCCATGAAAATAGCAGTGCCATTGACATGTGCCTTTCATTCCTAGCACTCATTAGAAGCTCAACCCTTAATTGACAAATGTCAGCCTTCATTTCCTTCACATCATCTTCCAACTTCTCCTTCTTCAAAACCAGTTTCTTTACCCTCTCTTGCAAGTCATTACGCTTGTACTCCATCTCAGCCATTGTAGTATCCTTTTCAAAGATTTGAAATCGAAGGTCGTCAACTTCATTATTACAATCAACCCATTTTAAAAAATTACAGTTTGTGTCCTGCGCCAAAACCAAATCAATTATAAAAAAATCAAAATTCTGATCTGCTTTAAACCTTTGAAAAACAAAACAAGAAGACTCAAATTTTATTACCGACCATTTTGGACAACCAAAGATCTTCCTACCAACATTCGGCCCTTTTTTCACACTCCGTACCACCGCATCAGAACCGCAATTGCACTTGGTTATCAACCCACTAAAACTCCTTGAGGTTGAAGATGAACCACCAGATGCAAAAGAACGATCTCCTCCTGCCATAATAAATTAGGGTTAAAAAAGAAAGGAGAGAAGAGAGAGAAGAGTGAATAAGTGGGATGAAGAGGAGCAGGGGAAAAACGAAGACAGGGGATATAAGGGTTTAATTGGAGAATTTTTTAAAAAAATAAAAGAAACTGATATTACTCCAACGGTCATTGACACGTTAGACTAATAACCTGCTACAGTAGGTGAGTTACCTGTTGGGACCAAAAAAAGCGAACACATATGAAAGTTGGGATTATTAAATAATAAACGATAATTGGGATTAAAAAAAGCGAATGGGTGAAAGTTGAGATTTATTTTATCAATTTTTCCTTATAAATAAGAAGAATAAGTTTATATAATTCATGAAATCAATAGGATTTTTAATATAGGGATAGAGTGTTCTCGAATTAATTTAGGGTTTTAGGGTATAAATCAATTTAGGGGTAGTTTAAGATCAAATTACAATTGATATTTATTCTTTACTAATTTGGGGAATTTAAATTTATTAATTGATGGATTAGAGTTTACCAATATCTTGAATTTGGTGATTAAAGGATTGAGTTAGGATTTATCAATATTGAATTTGGGTTAATTACTATGGTAATAGAGTTCATAAATTTGGATGATATTTATGGGTTATTTAATTTGGAAATTAAGGTAACAATTCAACCTATTTATTTGTAACATAATTAATTGCAATAATTAGTGTAAAAGCAAACAAATCAGATCCACAAACGGAATTTTCGGAGCGTAGGGAATTTTTCAAACTCAACTTTGAGCCCTACTGTGATCATATTTTTAAGTATGGTGTCGTCCAAAGGGAAAGAAGCTAGAGATATAAGAGTTGCCAACAAGTTTTAGGAACTTGTAAACTGATTAAGGGTATGAAGATTACACCCTATTCACGATCACGGAGATCGCTAACTCCATAGTGGTCCAGAACCATGAATGGATATTAGGAGATGATGATCGACCTCTAATTAATTCTTATGATATATATGTGCACTTTTAGATCAACATACATACATTAAATTAATCCTAAGCATGTTTAATCTACATTGGTTGATTATTAATGCATAATCAAATCTATTATTGACGATCACTTGAATTAAAATTATATTAGCTTAAATCAAATTTTTAATTATCTTATTAAGCGTGATTTCGAGTACAAATTCCCTTTAATCCTGTAAGAAGGGGCGTGATCATGCATAACAATCAATCATGAACAATCAAGAACATAATTGGCACAACAATCATCATCATAATCAAAATCATCATCAAACACATGATTAGCAAGATTCTAGGCATGATACTAAACAGATTAATAACAAACTGTAGTGCGTCACTAATAACCACAACCAAAGCTTTATTCGAAACTTGATACTAGGAATATAATACTAGAAATCATAACAATATCCTAACATGATACTAGGAATTAATATAAAATTCTAAACATGAATTCTATATCAAAAGAATAATTAAGTAATTGAATTACTCACTTTGATGACTCGTATCTCTTTCTATCAAAAAATACATATGTTAGTAAACTTCAAGAAAGATTAAATTAAACAAATAAATCAAATAATAATATAAATATAGATTTGGGACCAAACCCACAGAACTATCGACCTTTAACGTCAAGGTCGAAGGCAATTTCAAAGCTGGTTAGGAGTATTCAAAGCTCCTGAAGGAGGTATGGTGTTTGTTTGTGAAAAGTAACAAGAATGTGTTGGGATGTGTTTAGCCTAGGCTAAGAAAAGAATCAAGAGAGAGAAAGAATAGTAGAGAGGAGCTTGATGATTGTTAGTGTTGATCAAGCTTTTTAAAGATTGAAAATCAAGTGAAACTACCTCTATTTATAGGGGAAGTAAAGGGTCGAAGGATAAGAAAAGAGTCATAATTCGAATCAGAGTAAAATAGGTTTTGTCGCGGCGCGATGGGACTATCGCGGCGCAATAGACATCAGTTTGTGCGGTTTTTATTTTTATCGTAACTTTTGATCCGGAAATTGAAATAAGATAAATAATACATCGTTCGAAAGATATTAAAGTCTAATTTTCAATACAGTTAGAATCAGATTGATAAATTTTGTAGAATAAAAAATATGGTCAAAATAGTGGTATATGTGTTAGTTTTGGATAGAGTTTGGTATTTCATTAATATCTTTTCCGTTATAGCTCGAAATTAGGATTATGATATATCATTGGAAAGATAATTTCAAGGGCTATCCAACCATCTAATATTTGGATAAAAATCATGAGGCACAAAAATCATATTTGAATGTCTTTAAATTCAAATAGAACAAGGATTATCAAAAATAAGAACTTTATTAGATTTCAAACTCTGTGATCTTTATCTTTCAGAAAGGATAGGTTAGAAACTTGTAGATACTTTTAGAAGTTACTAATGAATACTAATTGGTTTAGGATTGGGATTAAAGTTGGACTCTCACATGATCATTGGGTCTTAGGTAAGATAGACCTAGGTTCGGTTTGGGCTTGGCTTAGTATTTTAGTCATAACTTATTTGTTTTAAGTCGAATTTAGGCTTATAATATATCGTTAGAAAGCTCTTATCAAGTCCATCCAACTAGAAATAATTGGACCAAAATAATCTGGTTTGGATTTTTTTTTTTAAGATTCAGACATGAAATGAATGGTTTTAAGGACACAAAATGAATGATTTTGGGTTTATAGATACGAAATAAATGATTTTGAATTAAAACACTTTAAGAAAGGTTAGGAATTGTTAAGGCTAAAGGGAAATTCACGAGACTCTTCTACTTTTCACCTAAATCGATAATCAAAGAAGTGAAATGTACTCATCATTGGGTTTCATTTTTGGGGAGAAACAATTAGGTGTCCACATGGAGGAAAATTGTTAGTGGGTAGTTTTATCTAATATTTAAAGCAAAGCTTGTCAAGAAAAAATAGACTTATTATTGGGTAGTGTTAGCTCAAATAAGCCAATGTTTTGATTAACGAAGAATAAGTCACTTTTATATGGTATCTTCCTAAAATAAATTGTGACTAGGTAATTTTAGACTTTAGAGTGATTGTTTATTATAAATTATACCGCATATCATAATGCAATTGATTCTATTTAAATTTTTTTTATTAAAATTAATTATTCTAATTTTTTTGTTCTTTAAAAAAAACGCTTTTTTTACTGTCGGCCCACCACTTTCTCTCTTCCTTTGCCTGACTGTCGACCGTCCCTCACCCTCACCCCTTTCTTTCCCTCCCTCATTGCCCCTATCTTTCTCCCCCATAGTTGGATAGGTGTGGGGGACTTTTTTTGAAAAAAAAAAATAATACAAAAGAAGAGGAAATTAAAGTGACTTGTTTGGTACGTTGTAAGTAATTTGGTCAATCTGAAGAAAATACCACATAAAGGTCAACTTATTCTAAGTTAAGGTTTGCTTATTTTTGACAAATTTTCCATTAAAACTAAGCGGAATTAGATTTATATGCACGTGATGCGTATTTTAAGTTTCTAAATTTATATACACAGGTAATTTTAAAAGAGTTAGAACATCTTTGAATTTTTAGGTGAACACATTATCATGTTCTTTGGCTTATACAATAGAGATTTACATAGAAACTTAATAAATTGTGGGATCACTATTTATTGCTAATTAGGTTGTTTTTAATATGATTATTTACTATGAGTAGTTTTCTATCGTAATATAAAAGAATGTAATTTTTTTTTTAGCCTAGTAGCACTTCAACACGGGCTCACTATTGCTTCTTCTAAAGGTGTCATTTTACGTTTATTATGTACTTTTTTAATGGATCTTACTAACGAGTGTCTCCGAGGCTTTTGAAAATTATTTAAAATATTTTCTAAAATAGTACAAAGTATAAATTTTGAATGTATGCCAAAATCATGCTTCATTTGTTGTTGTCAATTTTTTTTTTAACATCATAATTAATGTATGTTTCAATTTAACAACTCTACTTTTAATCGTGTAAATGTGTAATCTAATGTTTTTTTTTTTAATATTCTTTAGCTTTTGCTTTATTAAATAAGAATACTCACTTATTTTCTCCACTTATTCTAGTAAGGGCTTGTTTGAATTTATGAGATAATGAAATTAAGAACTAAATTGAATTTATTGGAGCTAAAGTGAAGTGAATTGAACTGAACTAAAATAAAAATACGCTAAAGATAAGACTCTCAATTACATAATTTTCTTTTTTTTTTTTTTACGGACATGAGACATATATGAAGGAACGAAGAAAGTAATTAACATCTAGTGAGGAGATGGCTGCCTTGCTCCAAGAGTCCAACTCAATCCCTGGTAGTCAACTAAGGTATATTCAAAATGTGGCAATGAAATGAGTGCTATTTCTTCTATATGAGTTGTCTTTCTCCCCTTTTAAAACTCTTAAAAGCAACCCCCAACTCCACTCTGTAATTGCCAATTACTAGCTCACCCAAATATTCAGGAGAGAGAGAAAATATTCAAAAAAATCCTCTGTGTTGCAGACAAAAATCCCTTTTGTTTGCTAATAATGCAGGTATCACAAAATTCAAACAAAACCCATTTTTATTTTGCTAATTCTTTCATTTATTTAGTATTATATTTGAATTTTTTTGATTAAATTTTGCTATTTTTTTTGTCAGACTACAACAGTTAAAGTTGGAAACTTGTCAGATCTAGCAACTGAGAGAGAAATTTATGATTTCTTCTCATTTTCTGGTGAAATTCAACACATTGATATTCAACGGTTGTTGTTACTCTTCTAAATTTGGATATTTATCAATTAATTCATTAATGGGTATTTCTTGTTTAACTCCATTAATTTCTGGGTGCAGTGAATCAGTTAACTCAAAGACTGCATTTGTTACTTTTAAAGAAGAGAAAGCTCTTGAAATCGCCTTGCTGTTATCGGTATATTGTATTTCCTTTTTTGCATATTAATTTTGAACTTCATTTAATATCTGTTTTAATTTAATTTTTTTCTTTTATATTATTTCTTGTTTGTTTGTAAAATTATAATTTATTTTTTATTATTATTTGTTGAGGGTTGAGGAGGAAAGGGATAATTTGAACTCGTAACCTTTAACCGCGAATACTGAAGAATCTAGACTGTATTGTGGAGTTTTGCTGATTGTTATGCTTAATGAGTGTGCACTTGATTGTATAGTGTGGAGTCTATTGAAACAAAGTGAGTGTTGTAGTTAGTATAGTTACTCATGTCTTTATTAAGTAGGAAAATGCGGAGTGCTAACATTGAAGAAACTTTGTAGAAGGTTATTGATCTTAATAAATTGGAATTTTGGATGTACTATCTGACTGCAAATGTAGGATCACTTATTTATTTTGTATAGCCCTGTGGCGTGTGCAATGTGCCGAACATTCTTTTGAACTGAACTTGGCTTTACAGTAGACAATTAAGTTCTATAGAGAACAGAATGGGGAATTTTTTTGGGTTTAGTTGTGTGAAAGTGACTTGAGCTGATGATTACAGTCTTGATATGTCAGCTGGAAAGGTAACCTTAAAGGCTTTGAGCTCCTTACTTGGATTTTCAGACTGTAATTTAATTTGCTAGAGGAGAATTGATATTGCCCAAGTACCTGAACTAGAGCTTTCCTGTTCCCTGCAAATAAATTGGAGCTCAATGCTCACACTCAACTTGAAGTATTGGTTGACGGTTGACTTGTGGAGGCTGATAGCCATCTTCTGCTTAAACTTAGAAGTCTACGTTGTTGCTAAAGCATGGTTGATCATGGAGTTTGCAATTTGGCAGTGTCACTATTGGTAGTTTTATTACTTGGTGATGTGACTATGTGAGTGGTCGATAAATTTGTGTGTATGTTACTGAAAGGTTTGTGAATTTTTTTTGGAATTTGGAAGCATTGTTGATCATGGAGTTTGCAATTTGGCAGTGTCACTATTGATAGTTTTATTATATGGTGATGCGAGGCCGAAATACTCGTGCATATGTGGCTGATAGGTTTGTGAATTTTCTTGGATTTGGAATTTGCATTAGCACATGCTGATAATGTCTCCCCTTTGTGTACCTTGAATTCTAGATGAATAACTACCAGGAACAGTGGTGAAAGGGCAGGCCTATTAAGGGCCAATCAACAAGTCATATAACCTTTACATTTTATGATTAAACTTACCATTTTAAGGCAAGACAAGCTTAAATAATAATAGATTCCACATATAAGTTAATCAATGTGCTATAAGTAGAATTTAGTATTAAACTATTCTCCCTATAGTGGAAATTGTCTTTCTTCACTTTTTTTAAGCTATTAATTTAGCTAACAAAACTTATAGTCTGTTATGTTGAACAACTTAACCCACCTGTTTAAGTGTACTAAATGGTTAGTAAGGAGAGTTGATATTTTTATTTGTATCAATAGACCTGTTGCCCAATTGAGCTTGCAGTTGGATACCTCTTTAATACGTGCAAGGGGTTTTCAGAGGTGTTTAAGTATTATGATGCACTTATAAGCACCTTTCTTTTATTTGTAGACCAGCATAAGAAATTTACTTGAGTTCCTATGAGCATCTATGTGTTGATATTCAATATTATGCTGATATTATGCATCAACAATAATAATCTTCTACTCTTAAGCTATAAAAGCAATGATGACAATGCCGATCCATGGATTAAAAGTTCTCTAAATATATTCTGTGGCAGGGTTTGAGGTTGTCAAAAAACTTTGTTTTGGCTAGCAAATTTGAAGTGAGATCCATATTGATTCACCTTTAGAGGTGCTCTTGTGTTCTACTGCCACTTCTCTGTGTGAGAACTGAGGTTAACTGTTATTAGACTTTAACTCATGTTTCTGCTCCCCCTTGTATGCACCTTTCCATGAACCTATACTAGGCTATGCTGGATGCCTTAACTAAAGCCAAAGCAAAAAACAATGATCTAATTCTATTCTGCTATGAGGTCCTTGACTCCTTTAGTTATAAGCACTTAAGCATGATGGAAAGAGGTGAACTTATTAATTCCTTCACCCAATTTGATTTGAATTACCTCATTTTCCCAATGCGTCCACTTTTTGCTTATATATACTGCAAAATGCATGTCAAGATTCTGGTTTAATTTTTATCACTCCCAGACTTTTTTATTTCTTAATCTTACAAAAGCTACAACTTTGCAATCTTGCAGCAATAACAAAACACAAGCTGCTAAAGTGTTAATGGATTTTGTTTCAGTGAAAGAATTCAAAGACCTTTTCAGGTTATAAACACTTAAAAGAGGAACCAAACTGTTGGGAAAACCTAAAACACCGTAAGAAAGGATTTTGTGGTTGCACAGTTCATGTAGTTGGTGGGATAGAGATCAAGTAGCCTTTCAGGCTGCTTAGACAAATCTACTTTTTAATGCTTGTTGTAAAGTATGTGTTATTTCATTCAGAAATTTCACATAATTGTTACTAGAAAGAAAGAAAGAAATAGGGTGAAGCGCTTGTTTGGATGGATGAAGGTAGCCAGCTTTTCCTTTTTTTCATTTTGTGTGTGAGTGCTCGAGCTGAGAGGAATGTTGTAGTTTTTATTTTGTAAATAGCTCTAGTTGTACTGGCAATTTGATAAATGCAATCTTGTCTAAGCTTTACTCGATTGACTAATTAGTCTTGCCAAAATTATTCCAAGATATGTTGTAAGAATCAGCTAATAGCACTTAATCACTATACTAGAATTGTACTCGCGCATTGCACAAATACATTGTGTATATATGTTTTATTCTTATAGACAGAAAAACTCATTCCTATGCTAGAACAAATGGTGTATTGGTTTTCAAAGTGCCAATATAACAAGTGATCGTGAATATTGGATGGGATTCAAGGTAGAGACATTTGTGAGAATTTTGTTCCTCTGTGTGTTTTTAATTGTTTATTCTATTTCTTTTTGCATATAAAGTACACATCACCTTTTATATTCGGCTTGCTTTTAAAAGTCATTTACTCTCCTTGGGTTAATTGATGGTGGAAATCATGAGCATTTGTTGGGTTCTCCACTCAATGAACATTAGGTGATTGTGTAAATTCAGGGGGCATCCTGTGTGGACGGTAGCCATCCAATGATAAGACGCACCATGTGGTTGGTTGGCTTAAGAGACAACACAATATCATAGTATATAGATTGTCATTTATTTTAACAACCAATAAAATTCCTAGCATTGGCCTATTGTAGCTTACTAACTTATAATTAAGTGAAAGCAATACCATAAAGCTGCTTCATCAGTACTGTTTAAGCGAATTTTTATGTGCTTTGTAATTTTTGGGATCTAACTGTAATTATGAAGGCATCCGTAACACAAATTCATGTACTTTGCCAGTTTGCTGACACATGCCATACTAATGATCCGTTAACTGTTTAAGCTTGAAGCTTTATGGTCCTCGAACCTTGATTAATATTATTTTTGTTGGTTTTGCAGGGAGCAACTTTAGTTGACCGCATTGTGAATATCTCTCTTGCAGAAAATTATGTTCTAAAGCCTGTGACGGTAATTGTCACTGAACTGAACTGTAACATCTGCAACCAAAATGACTGTATCTTCATTCTTCATCACTGATTATATTTTCTTCAGGAAGTAAGAACAGTTGAAAATACTGTGAGCACAGCAAATGTTGAAGATACATCCAATAATGCTGAGGTGAGCACCAGGGCACCCTTGGTATAGGAAAAAAGTTGATCTTATTCAGTGCCAACATGCATTTTTTATAAATTGATGTCACTAATCAATATGCTTATCATCAGATTTACACTTCATTATCCATGTCTTTGTTAGAAAAATTCAAATCCATTTTTGGAGTTTTGGGACAGTTTTGTAAATGTACTCCTCTGTTGCAAGTAAACATATTCCTTCCATTAGAGTCCCTAATATGCACTTGTTGTAATGTGAAACAAAGTATCTGGACATATCAAGTGATTATTCTTGCTTTCTGTATGTTAATAATGTATGGTAATACAGGACCACATATGACCATGCCTCTGAACAGTTACATTCAGCAAACTCCATTACCAGATTGCATGCCCTTAATGTTTAAGAATAATGTTATATACTGATTATTTTCTATACGTTGTTGTTGGGGCTAAAAGAGTGTTTGATATGACAACAGGCTAAATCTGGTAAAGCATATGTTAATAAAGCACAAGAAGTTGTTTCCAGTATGATAGCTAAAGGCTCTGCCATGCGGCAAGATGCTGTGAATAAGGCTAAGGCTTTTGATGAGAAGCATCGGCTAACAGCTAGCGCATCTGCCAAGGTCAGTTCCTTTGACAAAAGAGTTGGACTCACTGAGAAGCTCACTGTTGGGATTTCAGCCGTTAATGAAAAAGTGAAGTCTGTGGACCAAAAGCTTCAAGTCTCTGACAAAACAATGGCAGCCTTATTTGCAGCAGAGAGGAAATTAAACGATACAGGAACAGCTGTCAAGTCAAGCCGGTATTGATTCTTGTTACTTGCATTCCTTTTCTTTTTCTTTCCTTTTATTTATTTATTTATTTTTTTTAATAAAGATTGGACGCGGAGGGGGGGGTGGTTGAAGGGTGAGCTGGAAACCCTACCTATAAATTTCAACCTTGGTACCTCTGGGTTCAGTGAGGTCATATGCTAGCTCCTCTGCCACTTAGATCAGTAACATCAGTTTGTTGCAGTCACTCGCATTGTTTTATCACTTCTATGGCTAAAGCTGCTATAAATGCCCAACATATTCAAATTCTCACTATAGACTGGTTAGAGGCGGTCTGTTATGTGCAGTTTCTTATATGTGACCAACATATTCATATTAAAATTTGAGAAACTATACCTGTAAGCTGTTGGAAAACATTCTCTTGAAAAAAAATATATATAAAATGAAAGTAGGGATAAGAAATTGGGAGAATGTCCTGCCCCCTCTGTTTGATAAGGAGTGTATAAATTTAACGTCCCCTCTGTTTGATAAGGAATGTATAAATGTAACGTCCCCTCTTTTTGATATGGAATGTATAAATATAACGTTAGGTTATGTGACAATAAATTATGGAGTAATGTTATTTGTAACTCGATTGGTAAATATTTCTGGTTTTGCTCTGTACAGGTATGTTACTGCAGGAGCTGCATGGTTTAATGGTGCTTTTAGCAAGGTTTCAAAGGTTGGTCATGTTGCTGGTACGAAAACCAGACAGAAGTTCCACACAGCTATGTCAAATCTTACAGCGAAGGTAAGTTCTTCTCACTACTCTCTCTTCTCAGTTTTTATCAAGCTCTCTGCTGTTTTGTTGTTTCATCATTCGCCGTGTTCTGGGTTATGTTCAACTATGTGCTTAAAATTTATTATAATGGCAGGATCCAATAGCTGCATAGCCAGAAATCTTGTACTACTACAAGTGAGCAATCTAAGTTGATTCTCTCAATGCATGATTATCCCTAGTCCAATCAATCTTCAAGCAAATTCCGAAGTAAGATGTCATGTCAGAAGTAGAGTATAGGGACATACTTGGGATGCTGCAATGCTGCAGCCTTAAAGTATCGTCCTGGAGATTGTCATCTTTGTTCGTTTCCCAGGTAAAAGTACCAGGATTAAGCTTGTGATCTTTGTTTTGTAAAACCGGAGATTTTGATTTGAAAAATATCCCTGTAATTTTGTCACCCCCAAACACTATATTCTTTATGCCTTTTAAGTTGATTAATGGTATCTCGTGTTATTTTTGTGTATAAATTTCATTCAATGTTGATTAGGTTGGACCAATTCTTGCAACGTATCAATTCATACTCCATATTTGAATACAGGAAGCTCTTGTGAACATGAGTCTCCTACTTTTCCTTTTGTTTGTGCAAGCAACCTTACATAAGTTTAAGTCCCATGTGATGTTGCAGCCCAGCCTTGCGTAGGATGAAAAAACCAGGGATAATTTGCAAATTCAAATATTTTTGTTCTCTAAAAATTTTTAAATGCTTGGTCTGGTTGCCAAAAAACCAAAATACTCCCATCTTTTTTTAATTTACTCACCTTGGTTTTTCACGGAAATCTAGAATCTATGTTATAGAAGTCATTTTGTGTTGTTTTCTTTTGCGAATAACATATCTCATGCTTCAACACGAGTATGCTCTAGTTACATTATGGATGCGACAATCAATATTTGCAAGAGAAAAAGTGGTGGGATATTTCAAAAATAGAAATTTACTAATTTTTATTTATTTATTTATTTTTTACGGTAAGGAGAAAGATCTTGACCAAATCTCAACCCTCGCGGTTTTTTTGATTCGGCGCTTACGGGTCAGATACATTGAACGTGGGGAAAAGAATAAGGGATCCCCACCCTCAAAGTGTCTCTAGTGAGAATTGAACTACCAACTTTAAGGTTGGAAGATGCAATCTTTCAAGCTTAAATCAAATTTAGCTTGGTAGAAAAAGAAATTTACAATTGTGTAAATTATTTAAAAAAAAAAAGAAAAAAAAAGAGTATATGAAAAAGAAAACGGAGGGTTTACGAAGCAAGTTAAATTATCCACACGCTTGTTCTGGAAATGTCAAATCTTGAGTAAGAGCTTTCTATAGATGTTGTGTATGTCATGCAAACTAGCTACGTGGAGCATGCATCAAGCACACCGCATCATAGTTTTACATGCATTTTTCAACAACAACAACCAAAAAAAAAAAAAAAAAAAAACCTAAATTAGATTGGGGAAAAAAAAAACTATATTAATGAAAAAGCATGGCCAAAACAATTGAAGAAATCCCAAATTCTTTCGGACCATTAGTCTCCTGCACGTCATTTGTCTTTTTTTTCAACTTTTTTTTATTTTTTTGTTTGGATGAAACATTCTAGTTTGTACAAATACAAATGAGATCATCCTCAGATTCCTCACGACCTCACGTTGAAAAAACATACAACTATACAAGTAACAAGTTTATTTACAAGGAAATACGTAGTACTAAGGATATTTATGTCCATTTATAATCTAATATATACACTCACACTTCTTTTTTTTAAATCATTTTTAATCATCTGTATTATTATTATTATTATTATTATTCATTTGATTATTTTTACAATTTACAAACTTTGGTTGTATTTGTGATTTATATATGATAAAAATATTATATTTGAAACTTAAATACGTAGTAGTATTGTTTAGACTAGGGTGGCTAATGCACCCTATGCGCACAGCCGCACACTATAGCTAGTGATCTTCGGTGAGGTTTTTTAATGGTTGGTTATATTAATGAAGGAAAATATGTAAAACAAATATATTAGGGGTAAAAATGTTCGCACACTATACTAAATAGTAAAAAAAAATTCAACAATAATGAAAGCAAAAAAAGGCATTCCTAAAAAAAAAAGGCAAAAATAAAAAGAAAAGAAATAAATATTAATGAAAGCAAGATAAAATTTGTACATATTAATGAGGGTAAATACAGTGGCGGATCCAGAATTTCTAATGAGGGGTAACATTGAGCAATAAGAAGAAAAAAAATATTAAAAAGTATACTTCATATGTCCGATAAATTAATTACTTTTGTATATATATACTCCGCATCTATTATTCGAAAGTTTATAAACTATATGATAATTTATACTGGGATAATATAAATAAAATGAAATTATTTCTCGTATAAAACTAATTAGTAAATGTATTACTTACTAAATATGTGCATTGAAAAAATGAAAAATGCAATTAAAATGTACAGAAATTCATCAAATGAAGGCCAAGGGGTCTTAATATAAAGAGAATGAATGAGCTACACATTTTATATAATCTTTTCTTTAGATTGGGTATCATGTACGATATTTAAAAAATAATTAAAGTTCTCTTTAAAAATATGATTAAAGTTTTTAAACAAATTTGTATTATTATTACTTAAAAAGCATAGATTTTACTATTTGAATGAAAGCCTTTAAAAAAAATGGACGAATACAAAATTAATTATACATACATAAACACATACAAGATACAACTAATACAAGTAGAAGAAAAGTAAAAAAAAAATAAAAGAAAAAATAAAGTCAAAAGAAAAAAGTTTAAAAAAAATTAAAAAAAAATAACCTAAGAGACCCCTTGTTACTACGTAGGTCCGCTTCTGGGTAAATATGTAAATGCACATATTGAAGTGTATAATTGGTAGCACACTATTTATAAGAGTAATCTTATACTTCCTCAACTTGTTTTTACTTGACACGTTTCTTTAGTCACGTTTATCAATGCACAGATTCAATCATTAATATCTTTAATTACTGATTTCAAAAAATTATAAAAAGTTGATATTTTGAAAATATACATCATGACGAATCTAACAAGACCCCACATAACTATATTATTCATTACGTATAAATCACAAAACTCGATTAAAGGAAAGTGTGTGAATAGTGCTAAAGTCAAAACGTGTCAACTAAAAACGGAGGTAGGGCCGGTTCTCATACGTTGAAATTCAATTCAGTTCAGCTCAGCTCAGTTCAGTTCAGTTCAGTTCAACTCCTAATTTTCTTCTCTTATAAAATATTCATTTTAGTTCGGTTCAGTTCAGTTCAGTTCAGCTGAGTTCAGTCAATGAGAACAGGCCCGTAGTATTTTTTATTAGGTAGGGATACTTAATTCTATAAAATTAAATTTTTAATATTTTTACAAATATGATATTAAAGAAATTGAGCTAGTGTATTGACTTAGTGCTATGACTCTGCTCAACAAAATTAGCGATACAGAGTAGCTTTTATAGTCGAATAGCGGGTAATTGATAGACCAATGGATATCAATTAGTGATAGAGGTTAGCTATTAATGTAATGGCTGGATGATAATAAATTTAGGGGAAAAAATGAAGGGGTTGAAATATACAAAGACAATAGCCAAGCATATTATTATTTAAAAATGAAGGTGTAAATGGAAAATATGGATCATTTAGATAAAAAAAATGTTTGCAATTTTTTTCCTTATAAAAAAGGCATATTTTTAAGGACAAATGGATTTTTTTTCGTTGAGGGGAGACAGGTGGACTTTTTTTTTTAAAAAAAAAACAGATTCATTCATTGATAAAAATCCATATGCTATCAGCAAGATGAGCTATCGATATGTCGTATATGTATGTGAAAGAAAATTTTCGTTTGATTCATCTGATTGTAGCAAATGATAGATTAACCTTTTTTTTTACTCTGCATTAGAAACAACTTGTACTCTACTAACAAAAAATTGAACTTTAACAAAACCCACTATAGAGACACTTACTACACACAACGAATGTAGATTAAAATTTCAACTATTTTCGGCCTATATTACACTAATTTTTTTTGGACTTTAAAGTGAAATAGAAAGAAAAAAGAAGAGGTGGCTAGGTTTTTCTTAATACATATTTCGTACTTGATATGGAACATCAATCTAAATGGACTTATTCCTCTACTCCATAAATGCAAATGTTGGTATATACACTCAAGTGCACGGTGCACCCAAGGTATTTTTTTCACTTTATTTTGATAATTAAAGGATGATTATTGCTCATTTGTAGGGCTGTAAACGATCCCAGTCAAGCCAAGTTTTAGTCTGCTTGAGCTAAGCTCGATAAAAAAAATTAGCGTGCGAGCTATCTTGAGCTTGAACGTGCTTTTAATTTATTATTATTATTTTTTTTAATTTTTTTTTGAGGTTAAGCTTGAGCTTGAAGAGTGTACCTTAATTAAGTAAATAAGTCCTAATTCAAAAATAAAAAAATATTTTCTTTTAAGTTTTAATGCATCCACTTAATTTTATATAAGAAGTTTTCATTCTTTCTACAGAAAAAGGTAAATCTAGAGTTTTTTTAGGCCTATATAGGATGAAATTATTTATCTGTTTTCAAATATCTATATGGGTAAAAGATATGATACGGGCCTGTTCTCTTCAGATTATTTTCAGTTAGTTCAGTTCCAATAGTTCAGTTCTTAATTTCCTTCTCTCATAAAATATTAGTTCAGTTTAGTTCATTTTAGTCAATTAGAACAGGTCCTACCTCCTATATTATTTTTTTTTTCAATATAATAGACATTTTTTGAGGAAGAGCGAGTTTTGACTGAGTTATAATTAAGTCTGAACAAACTTGTAAATGAACTTAAACAAGTTGTTCACGAGCATATTAGAGCACATGATGTTGTTTGAACTTTATTCATTTATCTGGCGAGATTAAGATTTTTGTTCAACCTTGTTTATTACTTAACAAATAAATTTTGACCGAGTTTGTTCGCAAATATGAGTATTCGGAATGTATCGCTCATTTACACCCCTACTCATTATCAAATGAGCAAAAGATAAACTTAAGTATATCGTGTGCTCGGATGTACTACCTCCGTTAAGTTTTATTTGCAACTTTGAGGTGCAACACGGATCCCAAGTCAAAATTTCATAATGGTGATTATGGAATGAAAGGGTTTGTGATTAAGGAGGAGAGAGATAAATTAAAAATGATTAGTAAACTACCCAAGCCACTCACTAGGTGACCAGGCCACCACCACCGACACCACCGAAACCAGACTAGCCACCACCATCGACACCACCTAAACCAGACTAGCCACCACCACCGACACCCACCCAAACCCGGACCACCAACACCACCAAAACTTCCAAACCAAGACCTCCACAACCCACTGACACTGTCGAAACTCCCAACCCAGACCACCACAACCACCGACACCGCCGAAACACCCTAAACCCGGCCTAGACTACCGATCGACACCGACACCATCAACACCACCCACAAAACCCACGAAAATCAATGAAACCACCCATAAACCCACCTAAAACTAGATCACCAACCAACACCGACACCATCAACGCCACCCACAAAACCCACTGAAACCACCAACAAGACCCACAAAAATCACCGAAATCACCCATAAACCCATCGAAAATCATCGAAACCACCCACAAACCCATTGAAAATCACCGATCGCCCACAAATCCACTAAAACCTTTGAACCTAGAATACCCACAAACCCACGAAAATCATCTAATCCATGAAATATACCTGTGTGTTGCTTCCTTACTTCTTGCCGCAAAACCACCATAGCCACGATGACATTGTTGCTAGTGCTTGCCGGAGTCGAAATCAATGGAGGTTTCGATTGAGAGGAGAGAGAAAGAGCCAAATTGGGAGTTGTTAGATCCAGATTAAGTTGTTAATGTAATGCAATTAATTATTTAAGTGAATGTTTAATTTTTAAAATAAGGGCAATATTGACCTTTCTAGCCAAAAAAACTTACTAAAAAGGGAATGGTTTGGGAATGTTGCAAATAATAGTAAGCATTCAAATATAGTAAAAGTTGCAAATAAAACTTAACGGAGGTAGGATGTAAAATTCACTATAGATGAGCATTAGAGCATATTAGTAAAAAAAATACAAAAAAATAAAAAAAATAAATTAAAAATAAAATTAAAAAACAGAAATTGGTATATTCCTAAATTACCCTTAGGCTCTTGGACCCGTATCTCGTTTGCCCATTCTTTCGGTTTCTCTCTCAGGCCAATGTTTTCTCCGTTTATACTCTTTGGTTTTGAAAGCATATTCTGATTCTCTATTTCTCTTCTTGTTTGTGAACACAAATTTTGGGATTTATAAACACCATTATTATTATTATTATAGAAGCTCGTGATATTCAAAGAAGAAAAAAGGAAGTTAAAATAATGAGGGATTAGATAATTACTCCTTTGCTGATTTGCTCATTTTTATCCTTCTTGCCGTTCTCAAATCACCAAATTATCTCAGGTAATTGTCATTTTTTTTAATCTTAAATGGGTAATTTGTTATTTATTTATTTGTTTTTCCTGCAAATTTATCTCCAATGTGTAATTTTCTGAATTGGGTGTTGTTTGATTTCAAGTGGGTGGATCCAATGTGCCTTTATCTGATCTGGGTTTTGTGATTAGATGATCAATTCAATGTAATATCCTGATAATTCTTATCAATTTTTATGTAAAGTTTTAATTTTTTAGTGGGATTATTGGCGTTGCTTGCAGCATTGTCTTGTTTTTGTTAGTTGATTTTGCTGAAATTGGGTTTTCAAGTAGTTTTGTTGTTGAAATTTACTCGTTTAGTATTTGGTTGGCAATCGTAGTGTTAAGAAGGTCCCTAAAAGTCTCAACTATTTCAAACGCATTTATTTGTCATTATAGCACCGAAAACCGGAAAATCGAAATGTTTATATATGTGATCTTGAAACGATGCTTTTGTAAATGGAATTTGATTCAGTTCTTTGAGTACAAAATATGTTTGGCAGTATTCCACACTGTTGTATGTGAAAAACTTTGAGGGATGATCATAAGGTTTGTAATTTTTACACATTTGATGTCAGTAATGTATTATTGCTTATATTAATAGTTCTGTATATTTGTGCAATATTTATTTATGAGATTGTGATCAAGAGCAATGTATGAACCACCTTGAGACATATGTTTGCTCTTTTATGTTGTGCTTTGCATTTATCTGAAAATCGTTTCATACATATCAATCAAAGCCAGGCTTTGATTGATTGATTGATATGTACAGAATTCGTTTCATACATATATGTTAGAAAAATTAAATGCACCTATATAGTAGTAGGCTTGAAGTTCTAAATTGTCTTTGTCCCCAAGAATGTTGTCTCAATCTTTATTAGTTTTTTTGTTTGTAGCTGACACACATTTGATCCTTCTTTTTTCATGTTGGTGAAACTGACTGTCGACTTGTGGATCTTTTTTTACTTTTTCTTAAGCTGTTTAATTTTGCAACAAGGTGCTGGCCTAGCCATCTAATTTGTATATTTTTTGTATATGCAGCACATTTTAACCCTTGTAAATATTGGTGCCTCAAAAAGTCAAAAAGTGTGATGAGAAACTGAGAACCAGCATCTGAAGCGTGAACAGATTTTTCTATAACTTTGCTGTAGAATATGATAAGAAAACAGTTAGGTCAAGGGCTGCGTCGTTGACAAATTATATATTGTGATAGTTCCTTTAATCCAAATTATGGCTGAGATTTTCTGATTGTTCAACAAGCTATTTTTTGAAATAACTATTGAGATGGAGTGATGGACTAGTTGCATCAGTTTTCTTAGAGGGACACAGCCCTTGTGTTGTTTTCTCTTTTCCGACTTATTTTTGGTTTTGAAGTACCATTTTCTTTTCTCAATTTCCTAAAGGCTATTCCTGGTTAAAGTATCTTGGATTCAAATTTCATTAGTTTTAAATAGAAGCTTTTTGACTCAAAACACTGTCGATGGAATGTTCTCTTTCACCCCGAGGGCATAAGCAAAGTCCTCAAAGCCATGGGCGCAAATCTGTTTTAGGTGGGACTCAGAAAGATATATGGCTTATTGTGAAGGAGGGCTGCTTAGCTGATGTTGAATTAGCTTTAACTCAACTGAAAAAAAATGGTGGTAATATCAACTTGAGGAATGCATTTGGCCTTACTCCTCTTCACATTGCTACTTGGAGAAATCACATTCCTATCGTGAGGAGGTTACTTGCAGCAGGTGCTGACCCTGATGCTAGGGTGAGTTACTCTTTACTCTGTCTTTATAAGATTTACCTTCTATTCTAGTTAAGTTGGGTCGTCCTTTTTTGAGTTTGGATATTAGTATATGCATTGTGAAACAAAATCTAACTTGAACCACTTTTTTAGTATTTGTCAGTGTATAATATGCGTCATTTGGATTTGCATGTGTGGGTCAGTTGCTGATAAATTCTTTGCACTGATGTCAGCCTTGGAAACATTTATTTTCTTTCTTGTCATCCTTTGTTCATGTCCTTTCCTAATAAGTAATAACACTATTCAAAGGAATTTGAATGCCTAATAGAATGGATGATTGTTAGATTCCTTTCTGTTCTCTTGTTCTTCTTACTTAGGTGGCTTGTCTTTTAGGATGGAGAATCAGGATGGAGTAGTCTCCATAGAGCTCTTTATTTTGGCCACTTTGCTGTGGCAGGTGTCCTTCTTCAGTCTGGTGCATCAATCTCTATAGAGGACTTCAAATTACGAACCCCTATCGATCTCCTTTCTGGACCTTTGTCGCAGATTCTGGGTAATCAACATGCTTCAGGTTTGTGGCTTTGCCTCTTAGTGATCGTTGTTAGGAATTCATGCATTGATATGATTGGATGGCTAAATTGTACTTTTCTTTCTTGCACAGTTACTACTGAAGTCTTAAGCTGGGGAAGTGGTACTAATTACCAACTTGGAACTGGAAATGCTCACATACAAAAGTTACCTTGCAAATTGGACGCACTTCATGGTTCATTTATTAAGTTGATTTCTGCCTCAAAGTTTCATAGTGTAGCTGTCAGTGGCCGTGGGGAGCTTTATACTTGGGGGTTTGGAAGGGGTGGCCGCCTTGGACATCCTGAGTTTGACATTCATAGGTAAAGACTCTGATTCCTATCCCCCTCTCCTCTTCCACTTCTTCCTTTTAAGTAATCATCATGTAATTTGTAGTACGTCTTGATGAAGTATTTCCATTGGCTAATTTAATCTTGTATGTTTATCAAGAATAGTTTTTTATCTTGCATGGTTATGAGTTTATGATTCATTAAATATAAAGGCTTATTACCTAGAGAAGTCCAAGTGTTAGGATTTTTTATTTTAAAATAATGAAAAATGGAAGAATTGATGGGCTGCAAAAGGGATTGTTTGTGAGGGGGTTTTCGAAAAGGACCAAGGGTTGGTTACTGGAGATGCTGATGAGAGGGCTCGAGTAATGGAAGAAAGCAAGTAAAATAATCAACGAAGATAATAGTGGGAAAATTTTGGACTTTTGGTCAATTTTCATCTTGCCAGGTACTGTGTGGAGTGATGAATGGTCATCCACCTTGCTCAGGAGTATATCCATTGCAAATCACTTTTTGAAGTACTCACACACCTTACTGTAGCCTGAAGCAGCAATGGTGTGGTTGTTGGGACTGTTTTTACATGGTGTGGCAAGGGAGATGAGGCTGTAGGATTAATTTTGTTTTCACCAATTAATTTTGTTTTCACCAGTAATGTTTGAATATTTGAACCTATGTTTTGGAATTGCAAATTGCTCTAATAAGACCCCTCTGAATGTCATTATGCATTGTAAACACTTGACACTGTATATCTTTTTACTTTTTACTGCTGATAGTTGTAGAATTTGTCCTCAGTGAATTGATTTTCCTGCCCTTTTATAGATGAATGCATAATTTTCTGATTTTGGAAGTTGATGAGCTTGCAACCACATTAAATGTATTATAACTACCTTTGCATCTTGTGTTGTGTGCTGGCTGCTGTGGGTCCAGAGTTCAATGTTGAGATTCTGATATTGTTGTCTTCTTGTAGTGGACAAGCTGCTGTTATAACACCAAGGCAAGTGGTTTCAGGCCTTGGTTCTCGACGTGTCAAGGCAGTTGCAGCTGCTAAACACCACACAGTAATTGCTACTGAAAGTGGTGAAGTTTTTACTTGGGGATCCAATAGAGGTATAGCATGTGTAAAGTTAGTGATTAGTGGGTGTAAATTGCTTTGCATTGAGTTTGCTCATTTGGTGTTTGTTTGCATAAATTTGCATTATAATCAGAATCATGTTCTTTTTTCTTGCCTCTGCTGTAACTTATGTATGCCGGCTTTGATTTTCTTGTGCACTATATGTTCAGAGGGCCAACTTGGCTATGCTTCTGTGGACACCCAACCAACTCCTCGGAGGGTTAGTTCTCTTAAGTCAAAAATAGTGGCTGTTGCTGCGGCAAATAAACACACTGCTGCTGTTTCTGAGATTGGTGAAGTGTTCACATGGGGCTGCAACAAGGAAGGGCAACTTGGTTATGGTACATCTAACTCAAGCTCCAATAATACTCCAAGGTTGGTTGAATATTTGAAAGGAAAGTTCTTTACGGCAGTATCCGCTGCAAAATATCATACAGTGGTCCTAGGAGCAGATGGAGAGGTATGCAAGTTTAACCAAGCTGGCATTATTTTTGGATTCGTAAATTTTCATTGTTTCTCTTGGCTGTAGGTGTTCACTTGGGGTCATCGACTAGTAACACCAAGACGCGTGATTATTGCTAGAAATTTGAAGAAAAATGGGAATGCTTTAATGAAGTTTCACAGAATGGAGAGGCTTCATGTGGTTTCTATTGCCACAGGTATGGTGCATAGCATGGCTTTAACTGATGACGGGGCACTATTTTACTGGATTTCATCTGATCCTGACCTCAAATGCCAGCAGGTTGGTATTCCAAATACACTAGAGGTTTTTAATTTGACCACAATGTTGTAGCAGAATGTCAGTTTATTAATACCTCTTTATCCGTTTGCCTTTGTCTATGCAGTTATGTTATCTTAATGGAAAAAAAATTGTCAGTATTTCTGCTGGTAAGTATTGGCATGGTGCAGTTACATCGACTGGTGACATTTATATGTGGGATGGGAAGAAAGCTAAGGACAAGCCACCAGAAGTTACTAGGCTTCACGGTGTGAAAAGGGCAACTAAAGTTTCTGTGGGTGAAACACATCTACTGATTGTTGGCTCAACTTATCATCCTGCTTATCCTGTGAATGCAGTACAGGACTGTGAAAATTTAAAACCTGCTGTCAGTGATGTTTTGGGAGAGTTGGATGAGGGATTCATGTACAATGACATGGAGTCTGACAATGCTAAATCTGGTGTGAAAATGGAAAATGTTGGTGACAAGGTTGTGCCTAGTTTAAAGGGCCTTTGTGAGAAAGTAGCTGCACAGTGTTTGGTGGAGCCACGAAATGCTCTGCAAATGTTGGAAATTGCAGATACGTTGGATGCAGGTGATCTTCGGAAGTACTGTGAGGTAATTTTTAGTGTTAAATTATGCTTAAAAGTCAAAAACCTCCCTTTTTTTTAAAAAAAAAAAAATCTTTATTTTTATTTTTTGTGTTTCATTCCTCTTTCCTATTGCAACATAGTTGATATGTCATTGTTGAATTTTATTGTCTTTACGGCTTTTTTCATATAACATATATGAGAATAGAGTGAGGTTACCTGTATTGGTATACTTAACACTAGAGATCAAGATGTCATGTTGACAGCTGTTCATTCAATCAGGTAAAACTTTCAGAATCGTGGTCCCTAGAAGTGTTAGTCGAATCGTGTTCATTTAAGATTTTATTCAGATGGAAACATTGAGCATTTACTCAGTCATATGTTAGATATTTTACTTATTGAAGTCAGAATTGCTGGAAGAGTTGAGCTCGAACTTCTAACATCTTTCCCCCTCTCATCTCTACCACATGCCTTGGTTTAGAGTGTATAACACCATATATTGTTGCTTGTATTCTTGTACTCCATAATAGTTAGACTTGTTTGTATGGTCAGCCACCCAATTTTTAAATTTCAAAAATTGATAGCTAACCTTAATGCTGAAATAGTTGTTGAAAGAGTGATTATGACTTTTTTTTTTTTTTTTTTTTTTTTTTTGGGGAAAATCTTATTTAGCAATACAATTTGTCACACTAAGGCCTTGTTTTGTTCACCTTATTTTTACTTATTTCAGGTCTCATAAGTTTTGATAAGATTAGTTCAGAAAGATAATGAAATAGTATTGAAAAAAAAAAAAAAAAATTTAAATATTCATCTTGTATGTTCTTCATAAATTAGCATTGAAATATACTCTGTAATATGTAGGAGGATATAATTCGTTATCTGATGTAGAAATTGCACTTGCAGGAAATTGTTATTCGCAATTTTGACTATATTTTTACGGCTTCATTGAATACTGTTGCTACTGCCTCACTGGAAATTTTAGCTCACGTTGAGAAAGTGCTGGATGTAAGATCATCTGAGTCATGGAGTCATCGTAGACTCCCTACTCCAACAGCTACATTTCCTGCTGTTTTAAACAGTGAAGTGGAGAATAGTGATAGTGAGTCTCCAAGAACCAGGGATAATAACCTCACCGTGACTTATAGTGCAAAGAAAGCTGGTTGTTTCAGATTAGATAATTTTTTGCAACCTATGAATGTTACAAATCAGGAAGTAAGCAAGCAAATAAGAGTACTGCGGAAAAAGTTGCAACAGATTGAGGTTCTTGAGGCGAAGCAGTCTAAGGGACACATTCTTGATGATCAGCAGATTGCAAAGCTGGAAACACGGCCTGCTCTAGAGAGCTCACTTGCAGAGCTGGGTGTTCCTATTGAGACAACAATTGCAAAGTCATCAGTTTCAGTGGTATCAGATGGCAAGGTCTCTAAGGCAGGGAAGCCAAAGAAACAGAGGAGAAAGAGTAGACACGAGGAATCTCAGACAGAAGCTTATTCTGGTACAGAATTGGAGTCTAACCATGTGAAGGTTGTCGCGGACCTCAATTTGTCAAAGTTGACTGAGGGGAAGGTGATCTTTCTGATGCATCTTCTTTATAATATGTGCTCTTTGCTGGTCAAAGATAGCTCTTGCATCACAGTTTTCAAGTTTTTGCTTAATTTTTTGAGTTGTGTGTTTTGAACAATGATAAAAAAAAAAGGCTTAATCAGGCAGTGGAATAACATTCTTAATGCATAAGATCACAAGATAGTCAGTGAACAAAAGTGTTTGGCAGCTGTTGATCTACTACAACAATTAAGAACTTGTTTGATCGTCGTATGTTTAGTGTATATGATCCTTATTACTTTGTACTCCCTCTGCCCCTTAATAAAGCCCCATTTCTTTTGGGCACGGGGTTTTAGGAGAGGATTTGTGGGGAGTTGTTGATCAAAGTTAAATAATAAAAAAATTTAGTGGGATTATAACTTAGTAAGTTTAGGGGAAGTGAGAAATTGTAGGTGGGTTACATGATTTTGAACTTAGTAAACTATGGGCCCCACCCACTTGAGAAATAGAGATTTGAATCTAGGGACAAGAAATTTGGGAAAAATGGCGCTTTTTATTTAGGCACGGAAGGAGAATATGGTTTTGTAAGTTAAGTTTGATCAATTTAAACCTGAAGGTTTATGTCATGTAATTTATTCCATATTTTTCGATTGATGACTACAATGATGAGCTTGTTTTTATTTACAGGAATATGATCAGTTTTATATTATTTTATTGAGTTATTTATTGTTTTGGCGCTATAGGTTCCTGCTGAACCTGAAGATTCATTTACTAAAGGCTCCCAGAATCTCTCTCTGGAGAAAGACTCTCCTGGTGTGGGTATGAGTAAAGGTTCATTGGTGGTGGGAACGAAGAAGAAGAACAAGAAGGGACTCAAGGGAGGGCTCTCCATGTTCCTGAGTGGTGCTCTTGATGAGCCTAACAAAGTTGTCAGTCCACCACCACCACCATCACCCAAATGTGAAGGGCCAGCATGGGGTGGATCTAAGGTTTCAAAGATGTCTTCCTCTCTCCGTGAGATCCAAAATGAGCAAAGCAAATTGTTCAATAATCGGCCTTTAAAAAATAAAGAAAAACCAGAAGAGCTACCTGATAGGAGTAGTGGAAAATTTTTGTTGAGCTCTTTGCTGGCCTCTAACCCGATTCCTGTGGCGCCTGCTCGCACAACACAGTTACCTGATGGAGATAAAAGCACTCCTCCTTGGGCTGCTTCTGGGACCCCACCTCATCTTTCACGACCTTCTCTCAGGGACATACAAATGCAGCAGGTACCATTATGGCACTGAGTTGCCCTGTAATTATTTTTTAGCTGTCTTGTTTTTCTACATTTACTGCCTCTCTTTTGCCTTAAAGGGTGAGTAAAGAAATGGGAAAATGAAATGTCTCGTTAATGTTAGCTGATTTTATGTTGTATTTTTTCTGAAGTGTTTGTTTATACTTTATACTAGGTTCATTTATTCGTGTTATAGTGAACTTCTTGGAATTAGGTTTTGCAGATAAACCTGGCCTATGGTTGGGTTAAGGAAAGCTCAAATATACCATTTTTGTACTATCTTGGAAAAATTAGCGTTCTTTTTGGATGGTCAAACATGGAAATGGTAACTTGTGATATGTATTGGCTCAAGTGTCCACGACTCTTTTAATGAGTATTTGATGTTTTTAGCTTATCTGTTTTTGCTGTTTTACTGTTAGTGCGGAGTTTTGTTTTCCAGTTTTTATGGTAAGAAATTGGGTAGTAGGTGTTCATGTATACTAGTTAAGTTGAAAATACTTTTTAACATGAGTTCTCTCCTGACAGTTTCTCATAAAGCATTTCTTTGTTCTATATTGCAATTTGCTGCTCTGCATTTTTGTAGTTTTAATAACCATTTTTTACTGTCATCTATGCCAGCCCTGTTTATTAACTGCTCTTAATATTGGTTTTATTTGCTCCATTAAAACAGGGTAAAAATCAATCCGTTGCGCATAGCCCAAAAACAAAGACAACTGGATTTGCAGTTACTACTGGTCAGGGGTCACCTTCTGAGTCTGGCTCACAAAGCCGTTGGTTCAAACCCGAGGTGGAATCAACATCTTCAATCCGTTCCATCCAGATAGAAGAGAAGGCAATAAAGGATTTCAGGCGCTTCTACAGCAGTGTTAGGATAGTAAAAAACCAAAGTTAGTGCTTTCTCTATTTGCTGTAGCAGGTTAGACTTCTTAATTCCACTTTTTCTGTTCTTTCTCAGACTGTACAGATCCTTTGTATATTCACTTAGCTAGGTTTATTATCTTGGCGGGAAAAAAAAATTGTGGTTGACTTAAAGTTCATAGGGTAAGCTTGTATAATCATTCTCTTTTTAGAGGGATTTTTTTTTTCTTTTTCAAATTCTCTCAAACATTTTATTTGAGGGGAAAAAAAATTAGATTAGGATCAAATAAAGCGGCAGCCACTTGACCAAGACTGTTATCTAAGTTGCTGCCATTGCTGGTGGAGCAGACGCTTAGGGTAGGCTATGATATTAATATGTATGCATATCGATGCTTTTATGTTACAATTGTGAACCTAAATTTACATTTAGTGAAATAATAAATAATAACGGTGTGAATTTTCACCCGAAGTGCCTTTTTTTGTTTCTCATTGCATTACTTTCCACACAGCCTTCACTGCGGCAATTCCTCTAGTAATTTCCTGCGTTCAGGACTGCACCAGATAGGGTAGGAACTACCAAATTTCTCTGGCTGGGTATAATAATCTTGGTTTGATTTGATTTGATTTGATTTGAGACCGGTTATATGTGATTAATTAGCAAATGGTTGGTTTTAATAAAGAAAAGAACCAAAGTCCCTCTCATTACCTGACAATTAAGGTCTTTGAAAATGGAGGGATATTCGAGGTTGACGATGAGATACACAGGAGGCCAAGCACCAGCAATCCAGCATTCTCATCCTTGACAACAGCAGTGTTCTATACTCTTTTGACCATGGACAGCTTTAAGGAAGAGTAAGCTAGTCGTTTTTGGCTCAATTGTATAAAGGTAGAAAATGAGGGAAGAAGAGAGAAGAAAAGATGCGTAAGGAGGGCAGACAAATGGAGATGTACATTAAAATACTTGATACTAAGGCAAGACTTCGCAATAAAATAAAATAAAGATATAGGGAAATTCTCTTTAAAACACTCAATTTTTCATTTTTCTCTATTGTAAATTAGAAGAAAAGTTACTCCGTATTATCATTAGTAACATCGTATTCTTTATTACCATTGATAATAACTACTCCGTATTTAAATTAAAAAATTTAACCATAGTTAATCTATCATTTTTTAATAATAAAATTATTTTAGAATTATTTTTTTTAAAAAAAAAAAAAAAAACTTTCTATCCCCACCCTCCCAGTCACCACCAAAACCCCTTTCTCGGTCGGCGCCGTGACCTCCCCACCATAGCGACGACCCCCTACCCTCCTCTAGGGGTGTAAATGAGCCGTTACGTTCATGAATTACTCGCAAACGAATTCGGTCAAAGCTCAAAACTCGTTTATTAAGTAACAAATAAGCTTGAACAAAAATCTTAAGCTCGTCAAATAATGAACAAAGCTCAAACAACATCTTATTCGGCTTGAAAATGCTCATGAACAACTTGTTTATGCACATTTATGTTCACGTTCGATTATAACTCCATCAAAGCTTGCTCAAGCTCAAAAAATCTCCATTATATTAAAACTACTTTATATGATTTGTATGCCACGCTCATTATGACTGATTCATTATTTAGAAGGGTAAATGAAGGAGAAATCTGTAATTACCGTTCCTAACTTGACCTTCAAAGAGTTAAAGATATTTAAGTAATTTCAAGATAATTTTACCTATTATTTTATTTTTAAATTAAAAGGTGAGAGAAAAGAAATTATGTTCAAAGGTATAAAGAAGAAAGAGGGAGAAACATTCGTAGTGATTAGTAGCAAAACATATCTATGGCCTACGTTTGACCACTTCAAATGAAATCATCAATTGACTTGATATGCAGAATAAAAGGTGAGAGATAGAAAATAATTTTCGATTGACTTTAGAAGCACCAACAATAATTAGGGGTGTGCAAGAGAGTGGGAGATAGCTTAGGTGGTTAGAGCTTTCCTCCCATTTTTAGGAGATACTGGGATCGATTTTTACCCCTGTCCTTTGCGATTCTATAAACACCAAAAAAAAAATTAGGGGTGTGCAAGACTTGGACCGAAAAAATGGGTTTGAATCGGATTGGAATGAACAATATTGGATCAATCCAATGACTTCGGTGTAGCTTTGGAAAGTGCAATGCCAAGTTCTAGTTTGAAAACCAGGTTTTTTAAAATTATAATTTTGGAAAATTCTCTTTGGATATAATGTAGTTTCTTTTTCTTTTTGGCAATTAAAAAATTCTTATTATTATGGGTAGCATTGTATTAATATTTTAAGTTGCTTATAACATTAATGATTTGTTTAATTAAATTCTCAACTATAATTAAAGTTTTTTTAAAATATTATTTTAGAAATAATTTTTTCCCCTCTCCCCACTCACCCAGCCACCACTTAACCCCCACACCGGCCGGCCGGCAGCGCCTAGCTCTCCATCCCATCGATGACTCCCATCCCTCACCCTTGTCAGCGACCTCCCATCCCCTCCCCCACCCCCGCAAGTCCGCAACACCCCACTCCTCAATGCCGAATTCTGTTTTTACATCACTGTCAAAACTTAGGCAATCCCTAATTTCACCACCTTACTACAAAATCCCAAAAAAAAAAAAACATACAAATACCATAAAATTAAAAACCCTAGCAAATGGAAATCAAAATTTACATCTTGAAGAGCTTGAGATCCTTAAGATGATCAACAAATCAAGCTTAGACTTTTGCATCAATTGCAAATTAAATAAAAAATTGCAGTTCGAAGACATTGAAAAAGCTTAAATTCATCGAAAATGGAGACAAAAGAAAGAGAAATCGTCGGGGAAAGGGGGTGGGAGAGGAGGGTAGAGCTGCAAATGATCCGAGTCGAGCTGAGTTTTAGTTTGTTTGAACAAAGCTTGATAAGAAAATTTAGTGTTCGAGCTATTTTGAGCTTTCAAAAATCTTGTTCAAGCTTGGCTCGTTAATAAGGATTTGGCATGTTCGAGCTTTGTTCACGACGTGCTTGTTTATATTTTGAGTTTAAGGTTTAACTTGAACGAGATTTATTCAATAAACGAGCCCAGTATATCGTTAAACTTTTTAGTTTTAATGCCTCTACTTAATTTTATATGAGAAGTTTTCATTCTTTTTATAGTAAAAAGGTAATTTCAAAGTTATCATGCCTATATAAGATGTAATAATTTGTAAATGTAATAATTTGTAATTTTTACAAATAAATATGAGTAAGAGATATATAAATATACTTAAGTATGAGCTAGAGTAATTTCTTTCCAAAATAATTGGCCTAAAGTTTTATGTTTGAGGTAGCCATAACCCTTTCCACTTTTATACAATTTAGGATGACCGATTTTCATAAATAATGCTAAAATAAAAAATAATTGGGAAATTCTCTTTGGTAACACTATAGTATTTACATTTCTCAGTGGTGAATTGCGAAAAATCTTAATGTCTTTGGTAAATCTAATTTTTTTTATATTATTCAATTATAACATTAATGATAAAATTTAACTATATATTTAACTATGGTTAATTAGTTTTTTTTTAATATTTATTTTATAAATATTTTTATTAAAAAAAATCACCCATCTCCCCAACAGCCAGCCACGTCCTCCCCTGCTCCAACCCATGCCGGCGCCCAGCCTTACCTTCGCCGGTGCACCGGTGGCCGGCCTCCCCCTCCCCCCCCGCGCCTCTCCTTCCCCTTGAACCACCACGCCTTCCCCGAAACCAACTCCCCCAACCCTGAAATCCCCCTCGAAAATCCTCAAATTCTCAATCTCTTCTCCGTAAATGAAATTAGATTAATTCCTCAATTTTTCGAAGCTTTAGGGTACGATTTTGCTCAGTTTTTGGGTTTGATTTCGCTCAGTTTTGAGGGTTATTTTTGCTCGATTTTAGGGTTCCTTATGTTCGATTTAGGGTTTGAAGGGGCGTTTTTTGCCGGTAAGGAAGGGGACACTGACGGTAGGAGGAGAAGGCTTGGTCATAGGAGAGAGAGGAGGGGGTCACCGGCGGTAGGAGGAGAATGTTCGGTTAGAGGAGAGAGAGGAGGGTGGTGGAGGAAAGGTCGCCGACGGTTTGTGAGGGTGTGGGAGGGCCGATTAGGGTTCTTCGAGTGTGGTAGGCTGGGTGAGGGAGGTTTCCAGGTGGTTTCGGGGGTGGGGGAGGTGAAGTTCCAGGTAGTTTCAAGGGAAGTGAGGTGGAAATCGAAGGGGGAGGGGAATGGCTGTTTGCCGACGCCAGAAAAGGGGAGGGGGTCTGGGTGGCGGCGGCGCCAGCAAAGGGAGGTGCTGGTTGCTTGTTCGGTGGGAGGGTTGGGTGTTTTTTTTAAATTTTTTTTTTTAAATTTAAGTTAATTATTACAAAAATAATAAAATTAACCATGGTTAATGATTTTAACTAAAATGATTATTATCTTTAGTAAACAATAGTACAATGTTACCAAAGATAATAAGTTTTTTTGCAATTTACCACTGAGAAAGTAAAAAAACATGGTGTTACCAAAGAGAATTTCCCAAAATAATTTCATATGTATGTCAGTTTTAAAACTATTTCCTGTGATACTGTACACATAGGCTCAGTGAAGGTTTGTAAAATTCGAGGCTATAAAGAACCGCTAATGGTATTAGTGGTTCTAATTTAAAGAACCTTTAACCATTACAGGTTTTTCAAATAGAACCACTAATGGTATTAGATGTTCTTCAAAAAGAACCGCTAATACCATTAGAGGTTTTATTTAAAGAACCAATAACCATTACAGGTTCTTCAAATAGAACCGCTAATGGTATTAAATTAGAGGTTAAGTAGAACCTCTAATACCATTAGCGATTCTAATTTGTGTATAACCACAATCTTTATTACGTGGATGGTATGGTGGGAAATACTTTTTATAGCAATGTATACACGGAATTATTTTTTATTTTAACATTATCTACGGAAATCGCTTATTTGTTCATGAATGTAGCGTGATATTGTATTATAATATTTTATGATCAAGTTACTTGGTTGAGTGTTAAGCTCTCAACAACTTATAATTCATGCTCTACTCTAACATAATAGTGTTAATCTTAAAAATAGATCAAAGAAAATTTTGATTATTTCACACATGCCAAATCTAGGAAGCAACTTAAATTCCCTACCATATAAAAAAAATACAATGAATAAAACAATAAAAAAAACAAAGAAATATTAGAAGCATGCCCGACATTCTATACATAATTGTTGGATCTGACCTCGTTAATTTCAGTGCTTCCCCATTACATTTCTACTAACATCCAACAAAAGTCTTCCACAAAAACTTTACAAATATTTTAAAAAATAAATGAATATTAAAATAATAGAAAAGCATTGTTCTTAATAATAAGACAACAATACAATTCCAAAATCCTAAAACAACTTTATTTTTGTTTAAATTTGTTTTTATTAAGTGTAAAATGGTGACCTATTGTCGAATTCATGTGATT